TTTACGGAGTAATATACTAGTAATATATTACACCACGTACCTCCTCTTTTTGATTTTCTGGCTAGGTATGAGATGTTATCACCATCACAAAAGCTTAAAATTCAGGCCTATATCATTCGGAAAGATGACTATAGTGTTAATATAGTCGATTAAGAAAATTGAATCACATGTAAATGATTTGAATATTCCTATCATACACACAAAACAATAAAATCATATCTTAAATCTTAAATCTTAGAAACGAAATAAATTAAATAAATATAAATTAGAACCCAAAAGAAGCATAAATCGAGCGAGGTTGAGACTTGAGAGATGCCTGAACCAGGAAAAACGAAAATTTCCGCCTCAACTTGTTGTCATCGCAGTCTTTCCTGTCTCCGCTGCCCATCGTAGCCATCATTGCTGTCGTCGCTGCACGCCGCCGCTGCGCGTCGTCGCAGTCCTTGCTGTCATCGCCTCCATTCGATATCGACCACCGCTTCATACTCTTCGTCGCCACGATTAAGCTAATACTGGAGCAGTCCGTGAAGATCGAAGCCGCCGTTGAAGAGCCCTAGAATGAAGATTAGGGTATTTGTTTGATGGGAGCTGCGATCTGCGAGTAAATGTTTAGGTTAGACATATCTACCAATTTGTGGCGGTTGTTATTTAGCAACCGACACGCGTACTTCATTTTACCAATATCAGTGGCGGTTCATTTACTCAAACCCGCCGCCCATGTTTGGAAGTACTCTTTCTTGTTGAATGCGTCGGTTTTTTAATGGAATAACCGCCACAATTTTATTACGATTTTTTCAAAAAAAAAATATAAATTAAATTATTTGCGGCAGTTTTGATATAAAAACCGTCGTGCGTACCTCGAAAATTCTAATTTGCATAATATGTGGCGGTTTCTCCATAACCGCCACGTATCCGATGCCGCAAATCAGCGTTTTTCCACTAGTGAATGAAAGAGATGGAGCCTGGGAGAGGGGCGGAATTGATAAAGCAAATCAAAGGTCTTGCTGAGGTTTATACTGTCCCTGGGTGAATGGCTTGGCAAAAGGGTTTTCTTATCAGGTCGTGACGATTGGAATTATCGCTATCTTTGGTTTGAAGAAGAAGAAGAAGAAGAAGAGGCGACACATTGACGGAGGAGAAGGCTGTGGTTTTTAACCGTAAGAAGAAATTAACTATGGGGAAGATAACAGAAAGAAATTTTGACGGAGTAAGGGTAGCCTAGAGAATTGGAAGAATGAAGTCCAAGTTTTTAAGAACAATGTACACACTCTAATGCATACAAAATGTTGACATAAATGAAGGGTACTAACCTGTGTTCAAGATTATAATGTTGTTAGATTACAATTCCAATAACAAAATTATGTATCCGAAATTTCGTTGATTGATAGGTTAAACTGAAAAAAGTACACATAACATTTTGCCTTTAGTAGAAAGTGAGAACAAATTGAGCTGCCAGCAAAAAAATAAGATCAGCCCCCTTTTTAAAACAAAAGAAACACAGCGCAAGCGAAAATAATAAGGTGACAATTCCGGTACCTTTTTAAAAACAGGAGTACCATACCTAGCATTCATTTGATTGGACCATATCACTTTATAAATTTTAATTTAGATTTAAATAATTCAACTGTTAGTCTGTTACCTTTTCATTGGTCCATGTGGACAAAGGTATAGTATCTTATGAGTACCATAGAAACTACCAAATAATAATGGCACAAACTTCCCGATCATTGCACAATATAATCAAAAAATTGATAGACATCTAGGACATGCATACAAAATAAAAAAACAGATAGAAACATAGTAATTGATAACCGTTTAAAAAATTAAAAATCAAGGTGAAAGGGATATACCCAAATCGCAAGAGGATAGTATATATGGTTTGAAGTCCTTTGATAATTCATTTTACATCGTATAAATTCAAACAATTGGATAAGGCGGCGTCTCAGAACGAAGACCACCGATTTCATGAGCTAACAATTAACATGGTCAGATTGGGGGCAAAGAAACCAGAATTCTTAGCCTTTCTTTGCAAACAATTAATTTAAGTCTTTTTGGTTTTTTTTTAAAGAAAAAAGCACTTATTTTACCAAACAATACCAACTTTTTCTTTCTCGGTTTTCGTGTAGAATCTACTTTTTACTTTTTCTATTACACAAAAAGCACTTATTTTATCAAACACTACCAACTTTTACTACTAATCACTTTTTCCCAAAAAGTGCTTTTATTTAAGCACAATCACTTGCAAACAGAGCCTTAGAGAGTGTTTGCTATTACTTAAAAAAGCACTTTCCAACTTTAGACTTAAAAAAAGCTGAAAAGTGTGTTTTCAAATGACAGCTTCTGCTTAAATTAAGCACTTAAAAGCTAAAAGCTGGAAGCATCTAGAAGGGTGTTTTAAACTGTTTTTCACTTTTTCTATTACACAAAAAACACTTATTTTACTAAACACTACCAACTTTTACTTTTTCAGACTCATTTTTTTCTAAAACACTACCAACTTTTACTATTAAGTACTTTCTACAAAATTAGTTTAAAAAATCAGTTTTTTGAGGTAGAAACAATCGTAAATACGACAATAAAGAATGTTAGGAAGATTTCGGATCAAAACCAACGAAGATCGACACTCAAGACAGAATGAGAAGGCATCGTATGAACCTCTGGTCTTTCACGCGAGTTGTACGCCAGTGTTATAGGGAACTACTGAGTATTAGGTTTTGTTGTTGTTGGGCTGACATGTGCTGCTGAAATGGGCAAAAAATATACTACCTACCTTCTCTTGTAGTTGCAACATTGGACTTTTTGCACTATTCACATGTTCTACTTTGACAACATTTTATTAATTGATATATAATAAATTAAATTTTTAAAAAATATTGTTAAATTCTTCTCATTCTAAATTTTCAAAATATGATTTTTTTTTTATTTTTTTACTAATAAGGAATGAAAGATATTGATGATCAAACTTGTGTGTTGGTAAACGTGAAATGTTGATTGTTGCAATTAAAAAGGAACGGAGGAAGTAATAGGCTGTCCAAACTAGGTACTCCGTAGTACCGAGTAATGTTTAAAAAAACAACGATGCTTGATGTATTCACTTTTATACCCACCATGTTTGTGGAAGTTTTTTTTGTCTGTGAACCCGTTTCACAGACAATATTTTGTTTGTGCAAAATATTGTCTGTGAATCGGGATTCACAGACAAAAAAAATACTTTCACAAACATAGGTGTGTATAAATGTGGGTATAAGAGTGGGTACAAAAATCATTTTTGTTAAAAAAAAACTAATACGGGCTGTCCACAATGAATTATTGTTTCCGTTTTTTTTTGGAAAATTATTCTTTTCAGTGTATTATTATAAATTAACTTCCTTTGGAAAGTAATTTGTTTGTAATTATTTAGGTTGTTAATTACAAGTGCATGCATTTCTTGAATTGTGTAAAAAAAGTGTTTGAATTTTGGTTTTGCAAACTAAACAAATACTTCGTATATGGAGTTTTTTACAATAATATTACTAAACTAAAACTTATTTACATAAATATGACTATTCATTACTACAACGTAGTGTTGTGGTAACTTAAGTTCGAAACTTGAACATGATTTACTATGAATTCATTACCACTCTAGTAATGAGTCATAATTTTGTATATCATCTTTATTGTAGTCATATTTGTGTAATTATTTCTCGTATATGTTTGCTATACTTTCATTTACCAAATTAACCTCTCAAAATTTATAACATTTTCTATGCATAAGAAATGGATTGGGCAAAATTACACATTTTTATGCGTTATTAGGATATCATATTTCCAAAAGGTTACTCCGTATAATTTACAGGAAATTGATAATAATAATAATAATAACAATAATAATAATAATAATAATAATAATAATAATAATAATAATAATAATAATAATAATAATAATAATAATAATAATAATAATAATAATAATAATAATAATAATAATAACGATGACGACGACGACGACGACGACGATGATGATGATGATGATGATGATGATGATGATGATGATAATAATAATAACAACTATTGATGGTGTGCCCATAATAATCCAAACTACTCCTTCTGTCCCTAATAGAAGTTCCATTTTGATTATCGAGGGTCAACTTAAATCACTCTTAAACTCTTACTTTTTATATCGAAATTTTATAAAAATTGAATTTTTTTTGCAGACTTTGTAGCGAGTTTAATGTCGTTTCTGAATATGTAAATTTTATTTACTAAAAATAATCCGAGTTTTCACATGGATCATTTAACTTTATCGTCGGTCAACCTTCGTAATCCACAATTGGAACAACAATCAGGGATGGAGGGAGTATCATTATTTCAGAATAATCCCAACTTTATGAACCTTCCGCCAATAATGATTCCATGTGACTGGCTATTTGTTCAGTCAATTAAAAATATAATATCATATAATAATAATAATAATAATAATAATAACTATCGTTGGCCGGCTTTTATTAGACCCAAAAAATACATTAAAATAACCTCGATTTTTAAAATTAAGAGAGTGCAAAAACTGAAAAAAAAAAAGAATACTACATCCGTCCCATTTTATGTGTCTCATTTTTCTTTGACACAATTACTAATAAAGTGATTGGAAAAATAAAAGTTATGGTTGAGATTTGAACATAATAAAGTAAAATATTGTGGACCACATATTTCTTTCCGAAAAGATAAATGAGATATTTCTTCTTATTTCAAATCATAATTTGCACAGATTATGGCTGTCTTTTCTTTAAGTATAATTTTTATTATATATTACATTGATCTCTTTTGATACATTTTACCAATATATATTACTCTATATAACTTTTATAATACATCAACTAACAATATTATCATATCATATAGTTATTATCATTTAATTTATGTTCTGTGCATTGCACGGATGAAAATCTAGTTATGCCAAAATGAGAATAGCTGACTAGGACATTAAAGAAATTAAATAGAATCCCTACCAAACAAATGAGGCGTAATAATTGGTGCCAGGAAAAGCTGTTGAAACATTGCTTATCTGAGAAGGCGGCTGACAAACGTTGCTGAATAATGATATAATCGGCATAAGTTTTATTGAGGGCTGTATATAGTAATATTGTGGCTGCATTTAGAATTGCGCTAAGCAATTTGTTTGTGGGGCACAAAATTGAATTTCATAGGCATGGACCTTGAATGGATCCTATGCATCGTTATAGAGAAAACTATCAAATAAGTCCATTTACTTTTCAAAAAAATCAATTAAACCCCTTAACTAAAAATTGGCTCAATCAAACCCTCAAACTCTTCAAGAAATGGCAAATATTCTTTTTGACCGGTAATGAATCGAGTTAACCGGCTAGTGGCTATTTTTTCATTTTCCCAATTTCTTTTTCTTTCTTTTCTTTTGCTTTTTGCTTCCTTCCGATTTCCCTCGTTCGGTCTCTGAGTCTCTCCCAGCTTCTAGCAGACCAGAGAGGGATAAATCCTCGTGCGTAACCAACTAATGGATGCACCGTCTTGGCTGAGCAGATGGACGCATCATCGTGACTGACCAGCAGGAGTCTTCATCGTCGATGATATCTCGCTGGCCCATCCCCGGTGACGTGCTCTCACCTCCAAGCTGTCAAGCAGCGCCTTTGCATATGCAATTCGGAGCCCTAGAAAATTGTCAGTCGCCAACGATGTTGGAATCTCGAATTGAATCCGGGTCTCCAAGCTTCACCTATCGGAAACCCAAGTTAAATCCAGGGTTAGAAATTATTTCAATTGATCATTTGGCTTGCGTTGGGGAAGTTCTGGGCGAAGTTGGGTTGCAGCGTGGTTGGTCAAAACGGGAAGCTGCAGCGTCGGGTTGGGAATTCAAGCTAGAAGAAACCCAAGTTTCAATCCAAGGGAAGAAGAAAATAAAGAGGGAAGAAAGAGGGAAGAAAGAGGGAACGAAAGAAAAAATGTAAAAAGAAAACAAAGAAAACGAAAATTATGGCAGCTAGTAGAGAACTAGGGAAGGAGAAGGAAACGTGTAAGGAAGAAAGTGACAGGAAACAAAGAAAGTTGGAACCGGGGGTGGAAGGAGAAGGGCGAAGAAGAAGGAAAATAGAGAAAAGAAAAAAAGAAAAAAAAAAGGAATCTAATTGATACCGGCTAATATGATCATCACCGGAATTGACATTTTTAATGAGTTTGGGGGTTTAATTGGAAGAATTTTCAGTTGGGAGATCTAATTGATTTTTTTGAAAAATAGAAGGGCTTATTTGATAATTTTTCCATCGTTATATTTTTTTGTCCTATGTAGCCATTTAGTACTTTTCTAAGTTTAGTGCTTACCAGAATAGATATATGACAGTATGACATAATTTCGAGCTTTAGTTTATTTGAAAAGAGAATTTCATCTTTCTTTTAATTAGTGGCGTCGATCAGTTCGAATAGCTAATTTAAGTAAGGGTTAGATTTTAGCTAAAAAGATACTTTCTAGAGTTCTTTTAGCAACCGTTAACTGTTTGTGACGAAAAAAATCTTAAAAACTGACAGTAGTTGTTTGAAAAAAATGTGACCGTTTGATTGAGTTCTATTTAAATTGGTATATACAAGTTGTTTCGATTAAATAATGCTAAATGCAGCCACAATATTACTTTATACAGCCCTCAATAAAACTTATGCTGATTGTATCTTTTCGTAGATGCTACTCAGTGTAACTTTTCAAAAAAAGATATTTTATTTTAAAAAAGCTCTTAAAAATTATCGTGTCAAACATACAACTGCTTTTAGATACAAAAGTTAAAAGGTTGAGACTTATGCCTACCAAACATGTACTAAAGGCTTTGGACACAATAACTGACTTTTATTTTGACAATTTACATCCTCCCATCGTGTCGTCAGGTCAGTGTTGGGGGGCCCTCAGGGATGGGGTGTCATCCTTTTTTTTCGTATGTGGGCGGCGGCCTTTTGTGGCTTTTGGAAACTGCTGAACGCAAGAGCCGGGTAGTGAGAGAAGAACGCAAAGGTTGTTTGACTCATTGACTGTATCTTTAATTTTGCCGCATCAGTAAACATTTGGCCATGTCAGCTTTAATTTCGCTTAAATACAACCTGGTACCAAATTAACACTCGTTTGGTCATTTTATGTACTTCTCAGCCTCGATTGCATCATCAGGTACTCTTTACTCTATCTGTTTCGACTTTGTGTACTGAACTGACACTTACCTCATTTCTAAAGGCTTTCGTTTTCCAAGCAAAACAAAATGGTGAAATATCAAACAAATCGGGTTAGGGAGTGTTTGCAACAGCTTCTGCTTTAAAAAAAGCACTTTTGGAGTGATTTGGAAAAAGTGATTATTTGTAAAAGTTGATAGTGTTTGAGAAAAAAGTGATTTTGAAAAGTAAAAGTTGGTAGTGTTTGGTAAAATAAGTGCCTTTCGTGTATAAAAAGTGGAAAAGCACTTTTGACACGAAAGCCGAGAAAAATAAAAAATTGGTAGTGTTTGGTAAATAAGTACTTTTTTAAGCCAAAAGCTGAGAAGTGCTTTTTTTAAAGTGGTTGCAAACCAGCCTTTAGAGTTTGAAGCTTTCCGGATTCAGTGCGTGAGCTATGATTTCACCTAAAATACCCTCTTTTGGGTCCAAGGCCAGGGTGGCTTCTAACCGAAATCACTTTCGTTGGGGATTCTGACCTGTTTAACCGAAGTCGAGTTAATTTCCAATGAGAAAATTGTTCAATATACTAGTAGGATTAAAACTCGAGTTTTTTCCCAAACTAATGTTAAATAAAAAAATAATTCCGAAAATAATGTCAGGTTAAAAATATTTCCCAAAATACTGCTCCCCTAAACTCTGGTTAGGAGAACCGCCACTTCAAGTGGCGGCTTATGAAGAGTGATATACGTAGCAAGGGATACGCACGTACCAGGCAGCTGAAGGAGAACATGACATGGCGGTAGCACAAAAAATAAAATCCCATTTTTATTTAAAAGTTATACGGAGTAACTTTTTTATTCGTATTCTGATTATTACAAAAAATATAACAAAATTCATAACTTTTTATTATCTTTCATATTAGACCAATATTAAATATATAAAACTAAAAAATATTTTAACACATTAAAATTATCATTTTTCGTAAATGTTATATCTTTTTCTATTTGTACTCCGATTGTTACAAAAAATATCAAAATTCATAACTATTTATTTAATTTTAAAAGACACCATTTTTGAATATATAAAAATTAAATACTTAATTCTATTAATTTGTGCTGTTTAGGATTGTTTTTTATTGTGCACATAATTAACCAGGTGTGACAGATTAGAATAAAACTGCATAAAGAATAAAACAATAAATAAAAGTGATGAAGTTTGCGCAACTTTGTTCTAAGTTATTACTCCTGATTAATTGTGTGCACGGAAAAAAGGATCCTAACTGCAAAAATTAATAGAAATAATTTTTAAATTTTATATATTCAAAATTGGTTTCTTATGAAAGATAATAATTAGTTATGAATTTTGATATATTTTTTGTAACAAGCGAAATACATATAGAAAAGATATAACGTTTCTAAAAAAGATACTCCGTATTTTTTAAAGTGTTACATTATTTTTTATTTTTATATATTCAATATTGGTGTCATATGAAAGATAATAAAAAGTTATGAAGTATGGTGTACTTTTTATAATAATCAGAGTATGAATAAAAAATTATATTCAATATATCACTTTTGTGGGACCACCATGTCATGTTCTCCTTTGGCTGCTTTACGTGCGTATCCTTTGCTACGTATATCATTTACATAAACCGCCACTTGGAGTGGCGGTTTTCCTTACCATGATTTAGGGGAGCAGTATTTTGGGAAATAATTTTAGCCACACCTTATTTTAGGAATTATTTTATTATTTAACATTATTTTGGAAAAAACTAGAGGTGGTCGGCGGCAGGCATCAGTCCAGGAGCAGCAGTGGGGGTGTTTTGGTCAAATCACACATAAAAAGTCCTATTTAAGAATGTTTAAACTAGTTGGTCCTATTTTGGAAAAATGCCATGTTTTGCTTCTATTAAGGTAAATCTCTCATTTGCAATTTGCAAATTTTTAAAGTTGGTCGATGATAAAGTTAAATTTTTAATATTGAAAGTTTACATTTGTTCAAAAAATAATAATAAAAATTTATATATTCTAAAGCTAAATGCACGAACCCTAGCGCCTCCTCCGTATAAGCTCTCCAAAAAAGGTCAAATAAGTCCTTATTTAGGAGGCTCTGTCCGACCGTCGCCATTTGGTGAAATTTCACTTGATAACTGCGTTTTTAACTGCACAGTTATCTTCAAGAATTCATTTGAATGTCTTCCCGATGGAAGTTTTAGCTGAAATTTGGTATGCGTAAACTAGACTGAATTAATAAGATGCTCAAAAAATTTCATCAGAAAATTTCTTTGGGAACCGCCCCAAATGACGACAACCGGACAGAGCCTCCTAAATAAGGGCTTATTTGACATTTTTTGTTAGTACGTGGGCTTATTTGCCCCTTTTCCCTATTTTTTTTGTATCTCTCGCATGACAATTCTGATGGTGACATCGCTTAAAGACTTTTGGTAGAGGTATGAATGTATGATCAATTTGGATTGTTCTTCTCTTTTGTCTGTGATGATTTTATTCTATGGTTCTTTCCCGGGCACTAGTGCTCCGGGATGGTTTGTCTCTCTGGATGTGGGGAGTTCTTTTGGTGTGCCGACTAGCTTCGTGTTGTCAGAGATTTCAGGTTGTCTTCTTTTAGAGTGCATAGACATTGATAGAATTCGTCCTCCTCCAGAACCACCTTCGTGGCATGAAGAGTTTGGTGGAATTACTTTATTTCAATTTTATATTTCCATTAGTAGTAATTGTTTTTATTTTAGTTTGAGTAGGTTTGGTTTGAAAATTTGGACTTCTGAAGTACGATTAATAGGCAATATTTCCGTCCCAATTGTGTTAGGCTTTAAATTGCCCGTTTCGTGTCTAACGAATCAGATTGCTTTGTGTGAATTGGCTGATTCTATGTCTATTTCAATTCTAGGGCTCACAATCGGATCTGTCATAACTGTCATTGTCTGGATGCTATCTTGTACTACCTCTATCCCAATTTGATGTTCCCAGTTCCTATTCACTTGGTCAACTTAAACCACTCTTAATCTTTTACGTTTTATATCAAAATTTTATGAAATTTGAATTATTTTTTGTAGGCTTTGTAGAGGTTTTAATGTAGTTTCTGAATATGTAAATTTTATTTGCTACAAATAATTTGAGTGCAGATAGGAACTCGTTTGCTTTATCGTCGGTAAAGCATCGTAAACTGAAAGTCTGAAACATGAACATCAAATTGGGACGGAGGGAGTATTTTGTTTTGTTTTTAATATAAAAGCCGATCCTTTATTTCAAAACAATATATTCTAAAGCTACATTTTTGGGCAAAACTTTCCAATCTATTATAATATATGTTATATGGAGTATTTTAAACCCAAATTCTTGAAGTGGGATGGAATTCGAACCTGTAACATCATATTTAATGCTCTAAATAAAAGTAAACATGTTTAGAAATTCAAAACAATGTTCGTGAAATGGGTGTTGTTATTGTCATGATTAAAAAATAATGTTACGTACTATTAATGAAAATAAATAATGTCATGTTAATGCTAGTATTGTAATTATATTTACAATAACGATAGCAGTAAATGCCATCACCCTAGTTATATTTCGAAAGAAAGAAACACAACAATCTTATTATGAAATTTCAAAACCTATTTATTCCCATTTTTACAACTTTTCCATTGATAAACGTCACATGTATCAATTACGGGTTATGGGATTACTAGCGTTTCGTATTGTTTAATTTGACTGATCATGAAAAATTAATTCATTAAAGAAAAGATCACAATATGAATTGAAAAAGGATATAATTAAAAACAGTACTCTCCATCGACAAAACGGTTAATTCAATTTAGTAACTTCTAAAGCATCAAATGAAAAGGATTTGGTGCTGGATAAACAAACGAGGATAATCCAAGGTGATTGCATTTTTCATTTTTGCATATTCTACACAATTAATGATTAATCGTGTTCAGTTCATTCAGAATGTTTTTAATTGAATTATTTTTTCTAATCTGATCTAATTGGTAATGTGCATTTTATAAATGTTGAAGCCATATATATTTGACACTTCTATTTTTTAAAATTATTATTGTGTTTAATAAATGAGTAGAAACCTGAAATGCTTTCCAAAAGGCGAAATGGTTCATCGAAGAAGTCTCGATCCATAATGTATTACTTCGTAAATTTCATCGAAACTTATAAGTTAAATTATAAAAACAAAAGGTATAAATTATTACCTTTCATGAAATTCATTTTCTTGCTATTCTTTATTCCATTTTTCTTTTTCAATACAGTGAATAGCAACTAGGATAATAATAATAATAGCAACAATAATTTAATAAAAATAGCAATAATCCCCCTTCACCATAATGTTTAGTGCATGTAGGTGGCGAAAAAGGACAAGAGAGATGCTCCGATCAACGACCCGACGGCAGGGAAAGCGGTGATGGCGGCGCTGACCGGGGACGGTGCCTGGGCAGCTGGGCTAGGGCTGTTGACGGCGGCATCATTAGCCAAGGCCACGGTGAAAGAGGCGGCGGCGACCAGGGCGGCGCAGGCGATCTTCTTCATCTCCATTGTGAAGGACCGGAAGGCTTGATCGGCAACAACCTCAAGAATTCAGATCAGAAGATTATTCACCGAAAACCTTTCTCTCCAACTTATTTATATATTTGCTTTTCCTATATCGAAAGGTTGAGGGATGAAGGGTTATTTATATAAGGGGTGGTGCTTTTAGGCTA